TCCAGTGTGTCCCCCCTTATTCCCAACATGCTATAGTGCCCCCCGGTGGGTAGGAGCAGGGTCCAGACGCGACACCTTATCATTATCATCTACCGCCCTTTCTTTCCTCCCGGCTATTCATGCATGAAGATTGTCGTATATATGCTTGACTTCGGTTGCCAGTGCTATAGGTAGGAGTACATTATGGCAGGATCAGTCACCTGGGCAAACCAACCCTCCTCCAAGAAGAATTGTGCTATGACAGACCCCGAACAGTGCAGGTTGGCGGACAGGGTACGGCTAGAAGTTTACTGAGAAGCGTGGAGCTTGCTGCCCGGTGGTGATTGAAATCAAAAAATGACCTCCAATCTTAAACCCGGGAATCCATTCGCTACTGCTCCTCATACATCCACTTTGATCTTACCTTATTGCTTTCCTGTAGTGGTTTTTGTCGAAGAGTCCTTGTTTGATTCCATCGCTGAATTTGAAAGCTATTTCTCTTCTACAGGTCCCCAAGGACCACAGCTGCAAAAGGTATTGGAGAGGCTTACAGGACAACATACTGTCCCTAATGTTTTTATCGGTAAGCAACTCTGTAAAACCTAAAACATCTCAAACATGTTATGTTCTGCTCAATTGACAACCTGATCTCCCACCCACATCGATATTCATATGATGGATCCAAGGGTGGATCCCTGTTTAGGCTACTCTAGGCTGCTGCTCTGGGTAGCTTAAAACAAATATTTCTTTTATATAATATCTCGACATGATGTTTATTGCAATTTTGTACAAGTTAAGTTGTCCGTAATACTTATTATACGTTGTAGTTCATTAGTTTGTCATTAATAAGTGCAACGGTAAATTAAAAAAATGTGGGAATCCCCCATTGTTGATGAAGAACATAATCTTTGATGGACAAATTGTTTATCTTCCCCAACAAACCTAGAATTATAGTCTTGTGGATGTTATCCGTTTGTAGTTTGGGGGCTTTTTTTTTTCTATTTAAGTTTGAATGTTAACCAAAACGTGAATTACTGAATCCTGTTTCCATTCTTTTCTCAAACACTCAATCTTCTTTTTTGACATTCTTTTCTCCAAATTCAATTTCAAGGTTATATTCCCTTCGTTGTTCTCTTTTGAAACACTAATCTCATCCTCCAAGGCTACAAACAAAAGTGAAGACTAATAAAACCTCCTCAAACTCTCTTTTCCACTCCTTTTTTGTTACTGAGCAATTGCTGGAATAGAAATGAAACTCCTTAGGTTCTTTTAACAGTTTGGAGATGATAGAGTCGATGCTTGAAAATTTGTGCTCCTGTTGATGGTCAACAGTGTAAAGGCGTAAGTCAGACTACTAACAGTTTATATCTTCAGAAGCTAAATGTAAATCTCAAAATGGTTAACATTTTCAAGTTCAGGCAATTTAGTAAACTGCTATTAGAAAAGAAAATTTTGTTCGTTAGATTTTGCTTTCATAGTTATTCCTTCCTTGGCATAATTTATCAACAGTGGCTTCATTCAGTGATTGGCATTATCTGAAGAAAAATATTACCAACTAATGTGCTCGAACGCATTATAAGTTTGTCATATTGCAATTTCTATTATTGATCTTATTGGGTGTTTAATTATAATAAAAGCTCACACTTCTTTTCCTTTTCATGCAGGTGGGAAACACATTGGGGGTTGTACAGGTATAATACTCCTACATGAACGTTTCGTCTTTCATGGCACTGGTCTTTAGCAAAATAATTTGTAATTTTTTTAGTTTAAAAGTAAGTGGGAAGTTTAGGGTTGAATTCCATGTGACAGTACGTGATCATAGACTCTTAAAATCATAGAAGACCAATGTGATAAGAAAGTAAAAAACACAGGCAAATACATAGAGTAAAGAACTCCACTTTTTGAGTCAACATCTGTTTATCTTCGTGTTGGCCGTGCTGGCTAGTTATAAAATCTCCCGTGAAAAGTGAAAACCTTAAAAGAGAACAAAGTTGAACAAGGTGAAAATATATTAATGTCTAATGTTGCTCATACATCTGATATGCAGATACTGTGAAGTTATACCGAAAAGGTGAACTTGAAACTTTGCTCTCAGAAGCGAGTGCTAAAGATACACAAAGCTAAGCCCCACAACCCAGCATGCATTCACTCACAGAGCCCGATCTCCTTGCAATCTCTGATTATTTGAAAGAACAGACGCACGATTTCTACCTCTACAAATTTCACTGATCAGAGAAAATATATTGTGAGTGTTAATTCATTTTCATAAAACCTTTATGATTTGACAGTTAATGAAGGGTTTATGAAGCTTATGCAGAGTTTCAAAGGTACACAGATGTGGTTGAAACTATTGACGTTTGGAACTGAGAAGCTATTGCTTTTTGCATTTTTTATTTTTATATCCAATACAACTCCTTATTTTTTAACCTTTATTCGTGTTTGGTCCACATTCTGTGCTTCAAAATTTTAAGACTTGGATGTCAACAAGTTGCTGGCTTCGTATACATCTCTCTCAGGCGTTTAAAATAGGCTAACAGATGACTTGGATCAGGATGAATTTCTATTATCACAGGAACTTCCTTGAAATTTTTAATCTATGCCTCCAAGCGTGGGACGCTATCGACTTCCAGCACTTGAACACCAGCTGCTTCTTCCTTGGCCTCAAGCCAGAAAGCTATCCATCCAAAAGATAAGTCCGTCATTCCTATCTCATTTCTGTTAAAAAAATAAATAAATAAACTTCTTCCACCAAGGCCATGCTCTTCTAAGATTCTCAGATGTTCTTGGGCATCTTTAGCTGCTCTTGCTTGCTCTTCTCCAGCGCCTTTGAAGAAATCCAAAAAGTTTGCCTTCTGAATTACTCAAAAGAAAACTAGTCAGTGAAGCCATCATATTATATCAGTCTGAGAATCTCTAGGCAAGAAAACAGTTTGTTATTAGTTCATCCAAGTTATGTCCAACGAGGTTAGAGTTAGGGAGGTAGGATTACCTTGTCATCTCCAAACTTTGTCCAAAACCGAGCCACGGCCCTTGCATGAGGGTCATTTGGCAGCAGTGGGTTCTGCGGCCATGCCCCTTCAATGTACTAGAGAATAACAATGGACTCTGCAATAGTTTCTCCTCCTTGGACAAACACTGGAACCTTGTTATGCACTGGGTTAAGCGAAGAAGCAAATCGCTCTTGTTAAAAATGTCGTCTTCTAGATATTCATATTTGATTTCCTTGAGATTCAGAGCCCATATAACCCTGTAAGCAGTTGGACTTGTCAAGAACCCTCGTACCTTCACTTCCTCCATATTCTTTTTGCTTGTGTTTATCTTCTTCTAGCTGGTTGGATGCAGTTCTAATTTGCATCGGCTCCAACCAATCTGTAAAGGAGGTTAGGTGGAAATTACTAATTATAATATGCCATCTTATTTGACCTTAAGTAATATTTCACACAAATCTACCCCTTAGTCTTCAAATTGTGTATTTTTAATCGATGACGTTTTAGGATGAAACCAAGCCATCCTCTTACATTTTGGTAGCGTTTGTAGGAGAAAAACTTTTGAATCCATGTTTTATAAAACAATGTCTGTCTCTCTCTTCACATACAATGATAGCGTGTAAGTTCTTCACCGTTTTAGCTGAAAAAAAAGAAAAGAAAAGAAAATTAAAGTCGGGAGCGAGTGACTACGTCTTTTAATTTTTTGGGTAAAGTACAAAAAACTACCTCAACTATTGGTGTCACGACACTTTCATACCTCATCTTTTAAAATTGATAATGTCGTTACCTTATCTTACGAATTTATGTTAATGTTATACCTTCCGTTAGCTTGGCCGTTTATTTCTCAGTTAAATGCTGATGTGTCTTGATCTGGGACCCATTTTTTATTAAAAAATTATTAAAAACTAAAAAAAAAAACATTTAATATTTTTTTAAATATTAAAATAATAAAAAAAAATTTTATTAAAAAAAAAAAGCCAACATCACAACATCAGTTCGTCCCCTTCCCCCCCTTCTCTCTCTTCTCCCCGTCTTCATCTTCTTTCCCCTTAACCTAGAAAAAAAGAAGAGAAAATAAAAAAAAAAACCAATTTGTTTTCCCCACTCCCCATCCCCTCTTCTCCCCGCACCCACTCTCCGCACCCAACCTCGCCACCTTCGCACCCTCCCTTTGCACCCAACCTCGCACCCATTACCTACAACCCAAAAAAAAAAAAAAAACCCAGAAAAAACCTAGATCCCGTTGAGGTGGAATCGCGAAACCTTCACCAGCCCGATTCTGAAGGTTGAGAATCTGGGCGCGGAGAAAATGGGGGGTAATGGGTGTGGAGGGAAGAGGGTGGGTCCCGGGGGGGAAGACGTACGAACTGGGGTTTTTTTTTTTTTCCTCCTCCTTCTTTTGGGTTGCCTGTGTTTGTGGTGGGGGGAGGCAGGACAAACTGGGTTTGGTTTGGGGTTTTATTTTTTTATTTTTTTATTTTTTTATTTTTTCCCCTCTCTTCTTCTTCTTCCTCCTCCTTCTTTCTGGGTTGCAGGAAGATGGGGGAGAGAGAGAGAGAGAGAGAGAGAGAGAGAGAGAGAGAGAGAGAGAGAGAGAGAGAGAGAGAGAGAGAGAGAGAGAGAGAGAGAGAGAGAGAGACGAAAGGAGAGGTTTATTTTTTAATTTTTTATTATTTTAATATTTAAATAATATTAAATGATTTTTTTGTTTTTAATAATATTTTATTAATTTTTTAATAAAAAATGGATTCCGAACTTATGTCAGCATTTAACTAAGAAATAAACGGCCAAGCTAACGGAAGGTATAACATTGACACAAATTCTAAAGATGAGGTATTACATTGTCAATTTTAAAAGATAAAGTATGAAAGTGTTGTGATACTAATAGTTGAGGTAATTTTTTTGTACTTTACCCTAATTTTTTTTTTTTTTGCATGTGTGCCACTGCCTGCTTTTGTTTGCTACTTCTTTATCTCTTCGTTTCCCCAGAAATATAAACACATACCATCAAGTTGCTGAAAATATATGCAAAAGTTGAACTTCAAGAGCTTTTATTTTCTGGGAATTATTGAACAAGTAAAATACAGAAATGATAGCATTGTGATGTTCATGGTTTTGCTAAAGCAATAATCGTTGCTCTTCGGGTTTTGAAAAACGTCAACAGTGCATTGCGATCAGGAAGGTTCTCTTTGATTGTGGGAACCTCCCTGAACCTTTGAATCCATGCCTGCAAGCGAGGAAAGCGATCAGCTTCAAACACTTTAACCCCAGCTGCTTCCTCCCAGGCTTCCAGCCACCAAGCTATCCACCCGAACGCCAAATCGACCAATCCAATCTCTTCGCCGCCGAAGAACTTCTTGTTTCCCAGGCCATGCTCTTCCAAGATTTTAAGATTTTCCTGCGATTCTTTGACAGCCTTAACCTGTTCTTCTCCGGTGACAAAAAAGAAGCCGCGGAAAGCTCGGTCCTAGGTTGGACAAAACATGTGTTAGTTGGCGTTCACATAAAAAGGTTATGTTTCAAGACAGTCTTGCATTTTATGTCATCATCGTTCATAAAGCTCGATAACATATTCAAATACAACATAATATGTCGAACAGTTTGACCGCACAAAATTTACCTTGTCCTCTCCGAACTTTGCCCAGAACCGAGCTTCGGCTCTGAGATGAGGGTCTTTGGGAAGCAAAGGGTTGTGTGGCCATGCCTCTTCAATGTACTCGAGAATGACAATGGATTCTGCAACTGGTTTTCCATCGTGAACAAAAACAGGAATCTTCTTGTGTACTGGGTTGTACTTGAGAAGCTCATCACTCTTGTTGAATAACACATTCTCTTCTACATTTTCAAACTCTACACCCTTGAGTTTTAGAGCCCATATAACCCTTTGAACATAGGGACTAGGCCAGGCTCCTAGTAGTTTCACCTCTGCCATTTTTCTTATGTTGTCTTGTGTTGTGGTTCCTAGATGTATTTATAATTATGCCCAACAACCGACTTGGTGGAGATACAAGGTCAATTTTAAGGGAATACTGGCTTTTCTCACATAAGATATGATATTTAGGCGATAGAGTCAAGAGTCAACAACAAAGACAATTCAAGGAGCATATGTACGTTAGCAATGATGTCACATTCACTTAATTTTCTCACCTAGATATTGTTAATAAAAGCCATTTAATAGTGCCAGTTAATTAGAAAGAAAATCATGTCCAGTAACAAAGCCAGCATCAGGTCATTAATTGTTCTTCATTTCAAAAATTTCAAAAATCTTATATATATTTGTGTGTATATTGTATTTGATCTTGTAAACATTTAGGGAAACTAAATTACAACAAACTCCTCCTACTTCTCCTTTTTTTTTTTATCCTCCCTGTCTTCCTTTCGTCTTTTCTTGTGTGCGACTCTATTGTGCGCAGCAAATACTCGATGAAATGCCTCATTTGACAAGTCTCGATAGTCTTCAACAATACTCAATAGTTTTTGATAGCCAATCTTGAAAAACCTCTACATATCATAATAGTTGTTGATATATACTAGCATAAGTCTTGACACGTTTCTACCAAATGCTCAACAAAAATGGTTCAATAAAGTTTTTTCTGATCATCATGACTCATTATTTAAAAATCCTGGCTTACCATGCATATATTGTACATTTCAAAGAAGTGTGCTATGGTAAATCATTTCATGGTTTGGTGTACGATTTCTGATAATCAATGGTTGTGGGGGTGCAATGCATTAAAGATATCAGGGTGAACGACTGAAAGTAGCAAAAATTTATTGGAAAAATTTTATTTAAACTCACATAAACTCTCTCTAAATTTTAAATATGATGTTTTTATTATCCTTTGCATAATTACCATTAAGTACAAAATAAAATTAACAATAAAAATAAAATTTATCAATAAACTCACACCTAATAATTAAAACATAACCATCACATAATCTTTCTTTTACACGGCACTCACGCTCCATAGGTCAATATACTATATTTTGGTACATATATTTTGGTACGTGCATTTTGGTATATATATTTAGGTACATTAATTCAATATAATACATTTCAGTACACATATTCAGGTTCATTATAATATATTTTGATACAAACATTTAGGTATAAACATTTAAATACAAACATTTCAGTACAAAAAAAGTCAATTTTATATATTTCGGTACAGTCATTTCTGTACACTTACACATTTTTGTATCACAAATTTCTTTTAATATTATGTTCATTTATAATTTAAAAACTAAATATGTGCATATTAATAAAATTAAAATTTAATGTGGAGAGATTAAATAAAAATACACATTAAATAACGAAAATTGAATATAAATTTTAATAAAAGTACACTTTAACGGATTAAATTGAATATGTAATCTATTACCAGTTTTTTTTTTTTAATTTTAATCTTTTGCAAGGTCTATGTTCAAAAACCCCTAATTTTTTTTTTATACGAACTGATGTCTCCCTATCACGATAAAAAAAAACAATAGAGAGTAGGAAAATGAAGATCCTTAGCTCCAATGGTATATGCAAATTTAACGGCAAGCAAGCTTTTATTTTCTGGGAATTACTGGAAAGCAAAATACAGAAACGACACCATCCATGTATACTAATACTACCTTACAAGTAACAAAGAAACGACAATAGCAACACTTGCTAATGTATATATTGTTCATGACTGTGCTGAAGCAACAATTGTTGCCCTTCGGCCTTTGTAATAGTTCAAGAATGCACTGCGATCACGATCAGGTAAGTTTTCTTTGATTGTTGGAGACTCCTTGAAACTTTGAATCCACGCATGCAAGCGAGGAAAGCTATCAGCTTCAAACACTTTAACACCGGCTGATTCCTCCAGGACTTCCAGCCACAAAGCTATCCACCCAAATGCCAAGTCGACCAATCCAATCTTGTCGCCGCCAAAGAACTTCTTGTTTCCCAGTCCATGCTCTTCCAAGATTTTAAGATTTTCCTGCGCTTCTTTTACCGCTTTCACTTGTTCTTCCCCAGTGGCGAAAAAGAATCCAAGAAAAGCTCGGTTCTATGTTGCACAAAACATTTTGGTTAGTTTGGTTTAAATACAATGTTAAGTTGATAGACAATCTGATCCGTCATGTTATTACATCATCACCAATGTTGATAACATACTAGAATAATATAATTAAAATCATATGCTCAATCATTGTGATGACATAATATGTTAAAACTGTCAAGAATAATTACCTTGTCCTCTCCAAACTTTGTCCAAAACCGATTCTCGGCTCTTTGGTGAGGGTCTTTAGGAAGCAAGGGGTTGTGTGGCCATGCCTCTTCAATGTACTCAAGAATGACAATGGACTCAGCTGTTGGTTTCCCATCATGAACAAGAACAGGTACCTTCTTGTGCACTGGGTTGTACTTTAGAAGCTCATCACTCTTGTTGAATAACACATCCTCCTCTACATACTCATACTCCACACCCTTGAGCTTTAGTGCCCATATAACCCTATAAACATATGGACTAGGCCACAGTCCTAGTAGTTTCACTTGTGCCATTTTTGTAATTTTTGTGTTGAGATTCCTGATTTGTTGTGCTGGGTTTCTAGATCTATTTATACCCCCACAATTAAATCGGCTGCTTGTGCTTCAAGCACATGGTTTTGGGAATTTAGGGAGGAATTGGCTTCTTTCATATAAAATATTATTGGAAGGTGCATGTGTACGTGAGTGCTTACACTTCTGCCATTTTTGTTATTTTCAATCAATTTTGCTGCTTGTGCTTCGAGTACAGGGCCTTGGGAATTTAACGGGGAATTGGCTTCTTTCATATAGAATATGCAAAAAAACTTCAGTTGTACATAACATTTTAGTTGGAAAATGAATAGTTAAAATTGAAAATAAATGATTTAATAATTTAAAAATGGCTAAACATTTCTTAACACTAAGTGTTACATATAATTAAAGTCACATCATAAAATATGACATCCTTAGGTTATTTGGTCAAGAGTCCCTAATAGATGAATGAGGATCCTTTCTGGATTCTCAAATCGTGTTCGTTCATCGTACATCGTGCGGTCAGTTTTCGTCAGATATTATTCATATTTAATTTTAAATAAAAGTATTTAAAAGGATTTCTGACCACACGATGTACGATGAATGAATACAATTTAAGAATTTTTAGAATCCTTATAGAAAGTATCCGGAGATCCTCATTCCTAAAAGATGACTCCCTAGACGCTGAAAATGGAGTACGTGTATGTGTACGTCAGTCATGATGTCTTCACAAGAAGAAAATAAAAGAACAGATTGCATATGCAAATTAAACTTTTATTGGGGTTCTATTCCTGATAGGATGGTATATAAATCATCATTTTTAAAAATGAATTTAAACGAAAAGTTTTAGGTACTGTTTATTTTAACGAAAAATCATATTTTTACACTAAAAAAATAATTATGATACTATTCACTTTACCTTTTATTTTGTCTTTATCGTTAAAATTCAAAATTTTCCAATTTTTTTCATTAATTTTCTTTTCTTTAAAGGCTATCGTGCCCTCTTTGGATATGCTGACCACATGCTTTCATATACTTTTCTCCTAATAGCACTTAAAAGGGAAAAGCATTGCATCGTACATTTCAAAAGTACGCTTTAGCTAACGTTCTTGAGCAACTCTTGACTATTGATGATGCATTGTCTGAGCTGATGTGTGTGTCGACGTCTAACGGTAGCCAGATTCAATTAATTAAAAGACTAGTCTATGATCTTGCTGATGCAATGAACTTCTCTCTTAGGGGATTGAAATAAGCCAACAATTTGCACTAATGGATAGTATTAAGTTTTGTTGTATTATTAATTAGTCTGCTGCTAATGGAAGCAGCTTTCATATATACATATACCCACACGCATGCATTAAACAATACAAAAAAAACAGATGGCATCCTTGCTGCCCATGATGCAGCAACAACGTGCAAATCCCTGCTGTCTAGGGTGTGGCATCCACATGCATCACACAAAGCACAGATAGTAAAGGTGGCGTGCTCACTGCAAGTTAGAAGCACAAAAGGCTGAAACCATGTGCATTATTCCTTCTGTCCAAGTTGGTGGGACAGGTTCTCTCAACACTCCCCCTCAAGTTTGGAATGAATGTTGATTATTCCTAACTTGCAAAGCAAAGTCGTAAACTGGTATAAGCTCAGTGGCTTTGTGAAGATGTCGGCTGGTTGTTTCATGGTTGAGATGTGAGATGTCTCGATCATTCCACTTTGAACCCTTTCTCGTACAAGATGGCAGTCAATTTCTATGTGTTTGGTTCTTTCGTGAAAGACCGGATTCGAAGCGATGTGAAGTGCCGCTTGATTATCACAATATAATTTGACTGGACGTTTATGATTGATGCCCAAGTCTTGTAGAACAGATTTCAACCAAGTGACTTCACAACAAGTTGCTGCCATTGAACGATACTCCGCCTCTGCACTAGAACGTGACACAGTATTTTGTTTCTTACTTTTCCAGGAGATCAAGGATTCTCCAAGAAATACACAGTATCCGGTGGTAGAACGTCGTGTGTCTCGACATCTGGCCCAATCCGCATCACAAAAGGCATTCAATTGAATTGGACTTCTTGCAGAAAGAAAAATACCTTGCCCTGGTGTGTGCTTAACGTATCGTAAGACTCGCTGGGCTGCCTCCAAGTGTGGAGTTCGAGGCTTCTCCATAAATTGACTAAGAATATGGACAGCATACACCAAATCAGGGCGCGTGATTGTCAGGTAGATTAGTCTCCCAACAAGTCGTCGATAAGAGAAAGGATCAGTAACCAATTGTCCTTCGTCCTTTCTGAGTGATAAGTTTTGTTCCATAGGAGAGGTGGCTGGTTTTGCGCCAAGATGACCTGCATCCTCAAGTATTTCAAGGGCATATTTTCGCTGTGAGAGAGTGATCCCCTTGCTAGAGCGAGCAATTTCAATGCCCAAGAAATATCTTAATTGGCCAAGGTCTTTCAACTTGAATTGATTCATAAGAAAAGACTTGGTATCTTCAATTGCTTGTATGTTATTTCCTGCCAAGATAATATCATCAACATAGACAAGGAGGGCAGTGAATTTACCATCATGGTTTCGGACGAACAATGAATAATCTGTCTTGGATTGTTGATAACCGGCCTTTCTAAGAGCACAAGAGAGTTTGATAAACCATTGACGAGAGGCTTGCTTAAGTCCATACAAAGATTTATGAAGTTTACAAACTCGTGTCTCCCCCTTTCGTCCGAAACCAGGAGGCAAGGACATGTAGACATCTTCTTCAAGATCACCATGGAGGAAAGCGTTATTAACATCAAGCTGGTGGAGGTGCCATTGTTGGACCGAGGCAACAGCAAGGAGTAGGCGAACTGTAGTCAATTTTGCAACCAGAGCAAAGGTTTCTCGATAGTCTAAGCCTTCAATTTGGCTATAACCTTTGGCAACCAAGCGTGCTTTATATCTCTCAATGGATCCATCGGATCGAAATTTGATTTTGTAAACCCATTTACATCCAACCGGCTTCTTGCCAGGGGGCAATGGTTGCAGAGACCATGTCCTATTCGCAGCAAGGGCTGCCAGTTCTTCTTCCATAGCGAAACGCCAGTGAGGGTCGTGTATAGCCTGTGAGAATGAGCTGGGTTCTATGGCAGCTGAAATGGAAGTGGTGAAAGCACGATGTCGAGCAGATAAACGATCGTATGTGAGGACATCAGACAAAGGGTAAGGAGTACCTGGTACTTTGGTCAACGCCGAGTGAGATGAAGGGACGGACCGAGAAGGGAGGTTGATGTCGATGTGATATTGTTGAAGGTAACCAGGTGCATGAGTGGGTCGTTTAAGACGAGGTGGGGAGGTGGAAAGAAAAGGAGATGAAACCGAAACAGGACTCACCGGCGAAGAAGAGGATGGATCGACGGAATCCTGCTCCAGTAGAATGGACGGATGAATGATGGGATCATCACAGGCAGTATCTTGAGTATGTGGAAACATAAGTGGTGAAACTGCAGCAGAAGATGAAAAAGGGAACACATGTTCATGGAAAATAACATCACGGGAGATAAAGATTTTACCCGTGTGAAGGTCGTAAACTCGATATCCCTTTGTGCCATATAGATACCCAAGAAAAAGACACCGTGTGGCTCTTGCATCAAATTTTGTGGGACGATGGTGGTGGGTGGAAGAAAAACATAAGCAACCAAACACTCGCAAATGTGCATACGCTGGCTGTTTGTGGTGAAGTATTTCATAGGGTGATTTGCCTTAAAGAAGAGGAGTGGGAGTCCGATTTATGAGATAAGTGGCAGTGAGGATTGCATCACCCCAAAATTTCTTAGGAAGATGAGATTAAAAAAGTAAGGCTCTAGCAACATTGAGTAAGTGGCGGTGTTTGCGCTCTGCTACCCCGTTTTGTTGGGGAGTAGATGCACAACTTGTTTGATGGAGGATCCCCTTATCTGAAAAAAATTGGGTCATAAAAAATTCTGGACCGTTATCACTACGAAGAACCTTGACTCGTGTGGAAAATTGTGTTTCAACAAGGTGGATGAAAGTGATGAGATAAGATCGTGCATCTGATTTGTGATTCATTAAATAAACCCATGTGCATCTTGAGAAATCATCCACAATAGTTAAGAAATATTGTGCCCCTGTGATAGTGGGAACATGGTAACCTCCCCAAATGTCAACATGAATTAACTCAAAAGGAGCCTTTGTGGTGATAGAACTCAAAGGAAAAGGAGTACGTGTTTGTTTGGCTAATGGACAGATCAAACAATCATCAATGCTACAAAAATTCAAATTTTTAATGCAAGTAGAGAGATGCCGTAAGGTCTTGTTGGAAAGATGGCCAAGGCGTTGATGCCAAAGCTGAGAAGAAGAAGAGGCAACAATTGACGCTGAATTGCACCTGGTTTTCATCACATTATCAAGGTAGTAGAGTCCTTCTCGTTCAGTTCCCGTCCCAATCATCTTCCCCGATCGTTGGCCCTGAAGTAGACACATTTTATCAGTGAAGATGACAAAGCAAGATGAGGTATTAGTGAGTTTGCTGACAGAAATTAAATTCAGTTTAAATGATGGGACACAAAGCACGTTGTGAAGGGTGAGATCATTCGAGAGATGAACTGTGCCAATATGTGTGACATCGGCAAGTGCATGATTGGGTAAGTGCACTTGTCGATTGTATACTGGAACACTTGTGGTCATTAAGCTTGGTGAGCAGACCATGTGGTCTGTGGCGCCTGTATCGAAAATCCAGTCCCTTCCCTTATTGAGAGCAGAAGCACAAAAAACTCTACCTGACAAGTTATTCATAGTAGAGGTGGTACCGACATGATTAGATGTGGAGTTGGATTGACTCTTATCAAGGAGTGCAAGCAGATTGTGATATTGCTCGGAAGTGAGGCTGTAGGGCGAAGGAAATGTTGCTGGAGGCGTTGGCTGGGTATCAACATGATTAGCCTTGGAATTGGAACCCCTGCGATCCTGATAATCTCCCCTATTGCTGTTGTCTTTCGCCTTTTTCAGTTTGCGGCATTGATCAATGGTGTGACCTTTCCAATTACAGTAGTCGCACTTGAGGTGTGCACGACAGGTATCTGAAGTGTGTCCAGTTGCATCACAACGACCACATTTTAGATGGGAATTTCTTGGAGAAAAATTCCTACCAAAGTTTCGCGTGTTATCCCGCACGGCGAAAGCTGCGGTATCGGTGACTGAGGACCTTCCAGGAGCATGTATTGAAACTGTTCTTTGCTTCTCATCTTGAATAATAAGTGAAAAGGCTTTGTTGACAACAGGGAGGGGATCCATAAGTAAAAGTTGCCCACGAACCGCAGCGTAGGATTCATTGAGGCCCATGAGAAACTTCATGGTTTTCTGACTTTGCTGAAACTGCATTAATTCTTTTGCAGCTCCACATGTACAGGTTGGGAGAGTGCACATGTCATCACGTTCATCCCAAAGACTTTTCAGTTTGGTATAATATGCACCAATGTTCAAATTTCCTTGAACACTTCCATGTATCTCTTGTTCAATATGGAAGAGATGTACACTGTTTGTGTGAGAGAAACGTTCCTTCAACTCATTCCAAATATCAGCTGCAACATTGTTGTAAATGACACTTGCTCCGATATCTTTTGAGACAGAGTTGAGCAGCCAGGATTTCACGAGGTTGTTGCAACGAGTCCACTGTTGGAATTCACTTGTGGATGCAGACTCGGGCCTTTTAATGGATCCATTGATGAATCCTTCCTTGTTCTTGGCATTGAGGGCCATGGCCATGGCTCGGCTCCAAGTGGAGTAATTTTCGTCATTCAAAGGGTGTGTGACGAGGATCGCTCCAGGCTGATCAAAGTGATGAAGATAAAGAGGATCGTTGGGATCTTCATATTTGGTGTGTTTGCTGGAAGAGTCAGTTGCCATGTCGGCAGACAGTGTGCAGTGGCTGTGCTTGGCTGTGCTCTGCGGCTGTGCTTAATGGCTGTGATAGGTAGAGCAGCGACGAGTGACGGTAGAGCAGCGACAGTTTGTAGATAAACTGTGTTTGCTGAGGAAACAAAGCCGTGTGAAATGCCAAGGCCGTTGACACCAGGGAACTGAGCAGCAAATGCAGGGGTGACTGCAGACTTGATGATGTTTGTAGTGTTGCCAGCAACGCCTAGGCCCGAGAAAACAAAGTCATCTACTTTAACTGTTGCAGGGCTTTTGCAAGAGTAGCCTGCAGGGTCGTCAGGAGCTGTGAGGTCTGCAACGCAGAAGTCTTGCACAGCTGCATTAACATTTCATAGTATTGCAGCGGAAGAGTAAAGGCAGAGCAGAGCAAAGGATTGCCTATGCTCTGATACCATATTAAGTTTTGTTGTATTATTAATTAGTCTGCTGCTAATGGAAGCAGCTTTCATATATACATATACCCACACGCATGCATTAAACAATACAAAAAAACAGATGGCATCATTGCTGCCCATGATGCAGCAACAACGTGCAAATCCCTGCTGTCTAGGGTGTGGCATCCACATGCATCACACAAAGCACAGATAGTAAAGGTGGCGTGCTCACTGCAAGTCAGAAGCACAAAAGGCTGAAACCATGTGCATTATTCCTTCTGTCCAAGTTGGTGGGACAGGTTCTCTCAACAAATAGTATTATTTTAATACGGTTTTGTGTATTTTTTCATATGTATTCTAAATTATATGATCTATTTATTGCAAAATTTAAATTAAGCATCAAACTTGTTTTAAGAATATTCCAACGACACATGTAACCATTGGTAAATAATTGATTCCAACAATACCATATGCCTTAAAAATGTATTCTGACAAAAAGAAAAAAGTTTTGTCGGAAAAAATATGATTACTTCTGACAATAACTAATCACTCTTGAAAATATAAAAGCATTAATGAGAGGACTTTTTTTCCCTCAAAAGTACAAAAACATTACCGATAGGATTTTTTTCTCTCGAAAATACTAAATCAATTTATTCAACATGAGTAAACCTTCGGAAATAACCATTTAATTTTTTATAAGAACTTTACTCGTCGTTAATACAAGTGGTGCCAATTCTTCCCGCCAAACAAAAGTGCATTTCCGACGAAACTTAAGACTTTTTCCAAGGACATTATGGACGTTGGCAATAAAAATTTGTTTCATGCCATGTTACTGACGACCCATATTTTATGGTCATAAAATGTGCTTTTTACGACGGTTTTCCTTAACCACGGGGACATCTTCAGAACTGCTTATCCAAGTTTGCAAGTGAGGAAACATATTTGGTTCTAGCAACTTTAAGCCAGCTGATTCTTCTGTAGCTCCTCGCCAACCAGCTATCCATCCCAAATGCCAAGTCTGCCAAACCAATTGTCTCCCTCCAAAAAATTTCTTATCCCCAAGTCCATGTTCTATTGTTTTGAACACTACTTGGGTTTCTCGTTTAGCCTTCTCATGCTCTTCACCAACTGGTTGAAAACATGCAACAAAAGTTGAAGTCTGCAAGGCTCAGTTTAATAAAAATGAAAATGAAAATAATTATCAAATGGATTCTTTCTATCTGTTTGTCTTCCCTTAGTTAAAGGAATTCTTATGTTCGACATTTAGTTGTGGTTAACCTCGTATACATATGGCAGCGGACCTCCACTGTGAGTGCATTATAGCCCGTTGTAATTAAAATATCTTTCTAAATATTTTTATCATTTCATTTGACTCAAAGACTTTTGACTCTTTTACCATTAATTTGTTAGCCTGTCTGAAAAATAAAAAATTAGAAATTCGTGTACATAATCGAAAATTGGAGTTATACTTGGCAGAGAAAAATTGGTGTCCTTGGGAAACAATCAAAATTACTTTGAAAGGTCATCTCATTCTCATCTGGTCAAAGGGGATCCAAGAAATGAGTTTGCCAAATCAAATTTGATTTAAAACTTAGTAATTTCAACCCTCTTATGTGGAATTATGCATTAAGGGAGCCGCACTTGCAAGAAATTTGTATTAATATATTGAAATTAACGCTATTTTTTTTAAAAGTTCAGTAAATCACAATTCATCGAAACTCATACTTCTTTTAAAACTCCTAACTAGAACAAACGTCAATTTTTTTCGAAAATCCAAGAAAACCTCTTAACATGGTGAAAGTGAATCTAACACGAATCTTTTTGCAAGTTCAAATAAATTTTTTGCATGTTGAAACAAACACAAACCATTTCGAAAGCCCAAAAACCAAATCTCATTTTTTTTCTTTTTTCTCATCTCTCCTTTTTACCATTTTTTTTTCTTTTTCTTCATTTTTTTTTTCCTTTTCTTTTCCTCAAACTCAAAACCAAACTAAACCAATAATAAAATAAACACAAAACAAAGAACCTTCATGATAGGAAATGGATGCCTACCATTACCCAAAAAAAAACTTTTTTTTTCATCTGTTTTCTCCATCGTTTTCTTTTCTTTTAAATTTCTCCTTAATCTTATTTCACAGCTGCAGAAACTATTCTTCTTCTTCATTTTCCAAAAATGTGTATAATCTTCACCCTCAGGTTTATGGCTTATGGCTTATGGGTGCACAAAAAAATTAGCTTCGCACACTTACAAAGAAGCACTTTAATACTCTATTTTTCTCGGTAAGGAGGTTTTTTATAAGATATATATTAAAAAAAAAAAAGGGAATTAAATCAAATCAAACCTTTGTTCACAAAACAGAGAAACGTAGACCAACTTAAATCAAATTTTTAAAATACTTTCTTTTATATTTTTCAAAAGAAACAATGCACCATCCGGGTGAATATTCAATAGGAAATTTCAAAGCCTTCTTCATAGAATCAGTATATAAGGAGTCCAGGACTCGGCGATTTAAAGAACGCATATAACTCAACAAAGAATGGAAGAAGTGAAAGTGCTTGGAGCTTGGCCTAGTCCATATAATTTCAGAGTGATATGGGCTCTAGAGCTCAAGGGTGTGAAGTATGAATACGTAGAAGAGAATTTGGTTAACAAGAGTGATTTGCTTTTGCATTACAACCCAGTTCACAAAAAGATTCCGGTACTCGTTCACAATGGGAAACCAATCACCGAGTCCGCTGTGATCCTCGAGTACATTGAGGAGACTTGGCCCCAGAATCCCCTCCTTTCAGATGACCCTCATGAGAGAGCGTTGGCGCGGTTCTGGACAAAGTTTATAGACGAAAAGGTGATTGTTTATGTCATACAGTGTCGTATCTATATTATTGTTCACCGAATTCACAGTCTGACAAGCATAACATGTATTGCTTTTGTAGATTGTTAGGGTTTCGGCCTTTTTTGGTCATTACTAATCAAATGAACATTTCAATTTGTGTGATCAAGCAGGGGTTACCTTATCTTAAATTTATGGCTGATGGGGAAGAACATGAGAAGGCTGCAAAAGAAATCAGAGATGTATTCAAGATCTTAGAAGAGCAAGCTCTGGGAGAGGAGGACTTCTTTGGTGGCAATGAAATAGGGTTGGCTGACTTGGCGTTGGGATTTATAGCCTCCTCTTTTGGAGTGATTGAACAAGTTGTTGGTGTCAAAGTACTGCATGCCAATGAGTTCCCTCGCTTGTGTAATTGGATTAACAAGTTTAGGGAAAACCCAGCTATAAAAAAGAGCCTCCATCCTGATAAAATGTTTCTGTTTTACAAGCAGAGGAGGGAGATGATCCTTGCTTCAAGGCCTTGAATTGCTTTCTTTCAGCATCTTTTTAGCCTTTGCATATATGAAAGTGGTTAAGACAAAGAAAGAAAAATAATGGTTGTTATTCTAAAAAAATGTTACTAGTCACCAACTCGATTAATCCATAGACGTTTAAAATTTTAAGAAATGGCGTTTAGACCTATTTAGGCACTTGCCTAGGTCGTAGTTAGACAGAAAATAGATAACTTTCATTTTGCATTTTATTTTTTCAACAAATTATAAGAGACTTGTTGAATACTTGGATGAACGCTCATTATATGTTTGTTCCTCATGTTTTCAATATGCTATAATACTATATAATCTATATCTCACTGTATTTCGTAATTTATGTATCTCAATACAATTTTTTATTTATATTAAGTATAAGTATATATTTATATGTTATATAATAAATTTAATTAAAATTAGAAAACCGCCTAGGCCCCTGCCTGCCGCCCGAGTAGCGCCTAGCGCCTCTTAGAACCTTGGGGGCGTTTGTTTGCCCTCACTAAGTCGGACTGGACTGGACTGGATTAGCTATTAGTCTAATACTGTGTTTGTTCCATGCTGGGACTAACATTAATGAGACTAAAGGGGACTAGCATGGACAAAACCCTTCACTAAGAGGTCTTAGTGAGACCCCCCAATAACCATGGGACTGGCTAAGACTATCCTCTATTTCTCGTCCTTATCATACTCAACAACCACTCCCGACAGACTCCTCGTCATCTCCGGTCACCTAGATCAATCATTAACTTTCCAACTCTCTTTCAGATCCATTTCACAACCAACTTTCATATAAAATATACCAAATTGAAGCTGGGAGTGACAAGATTACGATTTTACTTGAATTGAGGCCAAAATGTGGTCGAATGTGGCCAAAAAATGGCCTGGAAGTTTCGGCCTGTTTGGGCTTCTTCAAATCCATGACAAATTCGAGCATGCAAAGCTAAGATCTCGGTCCAGGGATGGTGATGAATTTTTTGGCGGTACTAACTTCATCCAATTTAATGAGGGTTGACCAAAAAACACATCGGGAAACCTGCAACTCGTCGGAAAAATTGGAGCTGTGAGGTTCCATTCGAACAACGTATAGCTAGAGAGGGAGGGAGGACAGAGAAATAAAGACTGGAATCAATAAGGAGTTTGACCGGGAATGAGAAAGAGACATGAATTGAGAGGTCTGAGAGAAAAAAAAGAGGGAGAGGGTGGGACGATGAGAGAAGAGGAAAAGAGTGGGACGGAAATGGTAGGAAAAGATGGAGAAAAAGATAAGATCATAATAAAATATTAATAATTTATATATTAAATAAAATAATATTAGAATTTGTTATTATCCAGCTTCTTAGTTCAATACTGCACCAAACGCTTCACTAAGTTAGTCCAGTTTAGTCTAGTCTAAGCCAGTCCAGCTTAGTCCTTGAAGCTAATCCAGTCCGAGATAGTCCGGCGCAACAAACTCCCCCTGATACTCTACATCCATAACAAGAAAATTTTCAAGCGTCATAATAACAAATGGTTGGATACTTGAAAAAAAAATTCAATCACTTATATTATGACATTTAATGTATCAGACCGTGTTCTTGGTGCATTGAAAATTTTCTTGCCCAAAATATATTAACCCAATCACCCACTCATCACTAGCCTATTGACACACGCGCGTGTGACAATTTGTTCTTTTATTTATTTTTTTTAATTTTAATTATTTTAAATATTATTGTTTTTATTAAAATATAATTTGAAAAATAATAAACATAACCACGCATGGTCCCACTACGTTGTTTTTGTGAAATTATTATATTTTATAAATCCTAATGAGAAAAGAGTAAACCGGGTATTAGAAACTTAGTAGGTTTGTTGGACCGGATTATTTTAGATGTTTTAGCAATTAAGATGGACTGACTTGGCTTGGACTAAGCAGGATAAGAATAATGAAGTATTTAGTGCAATGACGGACTATATTCTAAACTAAAATATTTTAATTTTTTTGGCTCAAAAAATTAATTTTTATTTTATTATTTCTCTCTTTATCTTTTGCACCCCTCACTCAACAAAATGCCATACAAACATCGAACTTCAAAATGTTCAAATTTTGCAGGGCAGGTGATCGAAAGGTTGATTTTGATAACTCCGAGCCTCCACGAAACAAATGAGATAATCCATTAACACATAACCCTGTTCAGTTGGTAAAACATCAATCAATTCAATATTCATGGGCAAAATCTTGATTAATTTACACTGAACAAAATGTTTTGGTCTTAGAACATCACTAGAGGAAAAAATACAACCTTCAAAAGGAAATCACACCTAAGCAACTACTTAAAAAAATTGCTAGGAATAATTAATCTTTATCACAGCTCTTTCTTCAAGTCTTTAATCTCGTAAATTGCAAATAAGTCGCTTGGCAGATCATGTCGTGCTCTTCTTACGCTTCTTCTTCCTTGAAGCAAAGCTACTCGGACCAATTTCTATGGACATTCTTTTCGTCCTGCAAAGCATGAGAACAATAATTGAGTACTTTCAGCAGAACAGCGTGTGGCGTTGGTTGTAACAAAATAGAGACTAGAGAGCAAACAAAGGATCTTATGATTTCTTCCCCAAATACAAGTGTCCAACAAAAATTAAGAAGCGTCATACCGCTTGGAGAGCTCTTTTAACTTTTCGTCGCCATCTTCAAATGCACCATTTGAAACTAAAGATACAATGAAATTCAAGGCCAGTTGAAAGATCCAAACCAACAATAACATATGCAAAATATGAAATGCTGGATCAACATTATACTTTTGTTGTTCACAACTAAAGACATACCAGCTCCATCAATCTCACCATCCTCGTTCTCTGACTTTGAACCGGAATCCCACCTGTCACCTCCCTTGACAAAGTCCCAACGTTCTCCCATTGGAGGCATCAAAAAGTCAGTTTCAATGGTACCTTGAGCATATGAAAGATTACACCAACTAACCTCCGGTTTAGCGGGAGTTGTCTCCACTTATGCAGGTCCCAAAACTCACATAGACAGGGAAGACAATATACTCAATGTAAAACTTTAGAACACTAGGGTTTTCAACTCAGTTGCATACCCATATAACGATGGGTTGCAGTATATTTATACACATCAATTTCAGATTACAAGTAGGGTTTTGAATACCCTATTTGCACGGATATCTTTGAATTCAAAATACAAAATCACAACAAACTTATCTTTGAGCTATTCAAACTAAAACCTGACCTAGCAATCTTATCCTTGAAGAGTTTGTTTCGGAGCTGAGTTTCTGATAAGATTGACTTGGTCTAACATCCCCCCGCAAGCTGGCAGGTCGAGCAACCACTGGAAGCTTGGAAACTAACAATTTGAAACGTGAAGAAGATAGACCCTTTGTGAACTAATCGGCAATCTGGTCTTGGGAACAATTAAAATGAACCAAAAGTTGTCTGCATACCACCTTTTCTCGTACATAATGGTAATCCACTTCCAAGTGTTTTGTTCGTATGTGGAAAACAGGATTGGAAGCCAAAGCAATCGATGAAACATGTTAGTCATGAGTCAATATTAGGAAAAAAAGGAATGTAAATAGTAGGAGTCCTTTATTAAGTAGGTTGTTTATAAGCTTTATTTAGTTTCCTAGTTGAACACTGATTGTATATATATACACACACATATATATATATATATATATAAAGAAGCAATACAATTAAAAAAAAAAATTCCTGTAAAAGTTCTATTTGGTATCAAGAGCGCCGAAACCCTAGTTTTTCCGCTGTGCTTGGTTGACTGTTTTCTGCAAATTTTCTGCAGAAAACAGTGGTACCGTGTGTGTGTGGTATTGCTGCGATTTCTGCAGTGTTTTTCTGCAATTTTTCTGCAGCAAACAGTGTTGCTTTGTGTGTATGGTATTGTTGCGATTTCTGCAGTGTTGCCATGTATGTATGGTAGTGCTGCGTGTGTGTGTTGTGTTTTTCTGGCAGTGTGGTGAATCTCAGTATCAGTCTTGCTTTATTTTTTTTTTGTGAGTAAAGTCGAATGGCATCAGAAGGAGGCAGTGGCATGTTGAAGTTAGAGGGCAGTTACTTATGCTGTCTACGTGATTAATCGTATGCCCTCTCGGGTGGTTGATTTTCGCACTCCTCTTCAAGCCCTCACTCACCATGTTCCAGTGGTATCTACTCATACTCTCACCCCCCCCCCCCCCCCCCCCGCGGGTATTTGGGTGTGTGGCTTATGTGTATATTCAGAAAATTCATCACACTAAGTTGGATCCATGTGCCCTTCGATGTGTGTTTGTTGGTTTCTCATCTCACCAAAAAGGATATAAATGTTATCACCCTGAGACTCGGCATATGTATGTTACCATGGATGTGACCTTTTCTGAATCGGAGTATTTTTATGCTCCCGTATCTTCATCTTCAGATCACCAGGGAGAGAGCCATAGTGGTGATCTGGAATGGTTGGACTTGGGAGGGAACATTGTAGCTGATGCCGTGCATAATGAGGCAGTGATCATAGATGTCGTGCATGATAATGGGGCTGGAATGCCACGGCAGATTGTTGCCGAGAGCGGCATGCAGTCAGGAGTGATTGCAGCCGAGAGATCTGCAGTCAGGGCAGATTGTTGACAAGTCTGCGGACGTAACCCCCTCTCTCTCTAGCTCCACAATGCTGCCCAATGAATCTTCTCTGGATATACCTGAGGTAAGTATTGTGGATGATTATGTAACTAACGCGAGTAATGATGTAAATGCATATAAGCTGCCACCGAGACAAAATCGGGGTGTGCCACCTGACAGGTTTTCTCTGGAAGGCAAAGTGAAGTATCCAATAGCCAACTATGTCTCCTGCAATGGTCTTGCACCAGAACGCAAGACCTTGGTGGACAATATGGAGGCTATTCGAGTACCAACCCGTGTGAAGGAGGCTCTAAAGGATCCAAAGTGGGCAAAAGCAATGGATGAAGAAATGTTGGCATTACAGAAGAATAATACCTGGGAGGTGATGTCCTTACCAGAAGGAAAAAAAATAGTTGGATGTCGGTGGGTGTTTACTGTCAAATACAAAGCCGATGGATCATTAGACAGGTACAAAGCAAGGTTGGTAGCTAAGGGATACACCCAAACATATGATGTAGATTATCAAGAAACGTTCTCTCCAGTTGCCAAGATGAATATGGTACGTGTTCTGATATCTTTAGCTGCTAATATGGACTGGCCATTAAAACAGTTTGATGTGAAAAATGCTTTCCTCCATGGGAACTTGGAGGAAGAAGTATATATGGATTTTCCTCCTGGATACAGTACTGGCAGAAATACCGGAGTATGTCGGTTGCATAAGTCTCTTTATGGGCTTAAGCAATCACCTCGTGCATGGTTTGATAGGTTTACTCGAGTTATGAAAAAGTTTGGGTATTATCAGAGTCATTCTGATCATACATTGTTTGTTAAACAGAGGCATGAGAAAGTGACAGCTTTAATCATCTATGTAGATGACATGATTATTACTGGAGATGATTTTGATGAGATTTCAAGGTTGGAGAAAAATCTTGCGGCTGAGTTTGACATGAAGAACCTAGGGGATTTGAAGTATTTTCTTGGAGTCGAAGTTGCTCGATCTTCGAAAGGTATTTTCTTGTCACAACGTAAGTATGTTTTGGATTTGTTAAAAGAAACTGGTATGCTGGGATGTAAGCCAGTAGATACTTCTATTGTTGAAAAACACCATCTATGTTTAGATCCGAATCAGAAATCTGTTGATAAGGGAAGATATCAGAGACTTGTAGGGAGACTAATTTATTTGGCTCATACACGTCCTGATATTGCTTATGCAGTGAGTGTAGTAAGTCAATTTATGCATTCACCGAGTGTAGATCATATGGCTGCTGTTATGCGCATCTTAGCATATTTGAAGTCTGCACCTGGGAAAGGAGTTTTATATCGGAAGCATGGACATTTAAGGGTTGAAGGGTTCACAGATGCTGATTGGGTAGGAAGTGTGGGTGACCGACGGTCTACTTCGGGATATTTTACTTTTGTAGGAGGAAATTTGGTTACATGGAGAAGTAAAAAACAGAAGGTAGTATCAAGATCCTCAGCTGAGGCTGAGTATCGAGGGATGGCTCACGGCATTTGTGAGATTCTCTGGCTTCGAAAACTTCTTGAGGGGCTTGGGTTCAAGCCAAAGGAGACCATGAGACTATACTGTGATAATAAGTCAGCGAGAGATATAGCTGATAATCCGGTACAGGATGATAGGACAAAACATGTGGAAGTTGATCGACATTTTATTAAAGAGAAACTTGAAAGGAAGATTGTGTCAATACCTTTTGTAAATTCGGAGGAGCAACTTGCAGATGTTCTAATTCATGCTGTAGGTAGTCGAAAGTTTGATGACTCACTTGTCAAGTTGGGCATGTGTGATATCTATGCACCAACTTGAGGGGGAGTGTTAGTCATGAGTCAATCTTAGGAAAAAAGGGAATGTAAATAGTAGGAGTCCTTTATTAAGTAGGTTGTTTATAAGCTTTATTTAGTTTCCTAGTTGAACACTGATTGTGTATATATATATATATATATTTCTAAAGAAGCAATACAATTAAAAAAAAAGATTCCCGTAAAAGTTCTATTAAACATTGTCACACCAAATCTACGGCCGATGAAGATAAATATGAAGATCTTGAAACAAGCTGCCTAACCATGATAATTCAGCTGCAGTATAAGCAAGTTGCCTATCATCAGCCTCTGTACTAGACCTCGAAACAGTCTTTTGTTTCTTTGAACTCCACGAAATCAAATTTGTTCCCAAATAGATACAGAAACCACTAGTTGAATGATGAGTATCCAGATTTCCTGCATAATCAGCATCAGAGAAAGCATTTAATCGAACATTGCTAGGTTTATAGACAAGAACATGATCGTACGTGGTCTTTAAATAGTGCAAGATCCTCTTAACCGCCGTCCAATGTGTAGTCTGAGGCATATGCATGAACTGGCAAACCTGGTTCACAGTATAAGAAAGATCGGGATTGGTAATCGTCAAATATTGCAACACTCCAACAACCATTCGATATTGTTCTGGATTCGAATAAGGTTCACTATCATATTGACCTAGCTTATGTCCCGTAGGCATAGGAGTGGAATAGGTTGTACATCAATAAACTTTGTGCGCTCCAGCAGATCCAACGCATACTTGGACTGTGTAAGATGCATATTCTGCCCATAATAAGTAACCTCGACACCCAAAAAATAACTTAAAGGACCTAAGTCCTTTATAGAAAACAAAGTGTCGAGCTTCTTGATCAACCATTGCATTTGTTTATCATTATTGCCTGTAAGAAGAATATCATCCACGTAGATAAGTATAATCAAGTAAACTCCTCGTGATTAAACACGAACAATGAATAATCACATAACGATTCTTCAAACCCAAGTTGAAGGAGAAAATCCGAGAATCTTCGAAACTAGGCTCTGGGAGCCTGTTTTAAACCATACAAACTGTGTTGCAATTTACACACATAATTGGGATACTGTTGATCAAGAAAACCTGGCGGTTATTTCATGTACACATCCTCATCCAAATAGCCATGCAAGAACGCATTCTGTACATCTAATTGTCTCACACTCCACTTCTTTGATACGGCAAGACTCAAACCAAGTCGAATGGTGCTATGTTTCACGACTGGACTAAACGTTTCATTATAATCCACTCTGGATTGCTGATGATAACCATTAGACTGTAGGGCTCAATACCATGTACAACTTTAGAACACTAGGGTTTTCAGCTCAGTTGCATACCCATATAATGATGGGTTGCAATATATTTATACACATCAATTTCAGATTACAAGTAAGGTTTTGAATACCCTATTTACACGGAGATCTTTGAATTCAAAATACAAAATCACAACAAACTCATCTTTGAGCTATTCAAACTAAAACCTGACCTAGCAATCTTATCCTTTGAAGAGTTTGTTTCGGAGCTGAGTTGCTGATAAGATTAACTCGGTTTAACACTCAATACATACTTGACAGAAAAAGATTGGGAAAAAAATGTTGGACATAAAAAAGTAAATATGAAACTTGTAGTTTGATCATATATAAAAATGGGGTACATTGGTATCATGATTGTACGCATTATTTGGACCTTATGAAGTGATAAAACAACAAACTATAGCAACAGTAAATGCGAAGTGGAAGATAATCCAGGGAAACCTCCGCAATTATTCAACTCTCCCAACACTATTTGCTCGACTTCGTCCCATGTTTTTGCCGTCTTGAGTTCGTAACAGATGTTAAAAATAGCTCCCAATACATTCTATTCGTGCAGAATACAGTAGCACCTACACAGACGAAACCATCCAAAATAAATTCAACCACCGCCATTGTTTGGGCAACAATTTGCACGGAAGTGGATAAAACATAAACATCAATGCTTGATAGAACAATGACCAACTAACGACACTGATACGAAACATGAACAAAGATTGGATGTAAGAGCTTAAAATATAAGATTGGATTGGCAAATTTGACTGCTCATATTCAGAATGTAATTTCATTTTTAAACCAATAGATGGCAAAGGGGCTGGAAAATTCACTCAATAGATGGCAAAAAATCAAAGGACCGAACATCGACATCATAACTCATTTTGATTTCTTGAAATTAAAAGAAGGTATATCTAAGCATAATGATAAGGATTTTACCACAACTGCAAACGGGTTAAAAACTCATATATTACTTGTAAGAATGACAAGGATATTGTAGTATAAACGGTTCTTGCAAGATCGTTGGGATTATTAAATAAATTGAAGCAAATCAAATTCCAATTAATTATTGTTAAGTAGAAAGTTGAGATGATTGATTTTTATGACCTAATTTAATAAAAAGAATTTAATTAATAAAAGAAACTAATATGCACTATTAAAGATGAAGAAAAAGGAAACAGTTTTGTAGAAATCAAATTAAAGAAAGCACTAGAGTTCCACCATCACCTAGCAATCCTATGTATTTTTACCAATGACTTATGATCTACACATGCCACTTTTAAGGTTAGGTCTTCCTAATTTATATTCTACTTGGAACCTCCAACATAGAACTATATCTAACATGCAACCCGTTCGGACGTTCGGATCAAATCTGAACATGAAAGCCTCAAATCTCCTCCAAATTTGGCCCAAAATAGCTTGTTTTAAAGATCAGGACGTTCTGAACACATCTCCAGAAGGCCACGAACCCATATGAGGTCATCTTGGGCTCCAAAAACACTATTCAAGCCCAAAACGTCAATATTCCAGCACCGCGCAACGCTCCTTTATTTTATCGCCAGAAAATAACCGCTTGGTGGAAAAATCTGATATTTTGACCCGATCAATTTAAGTGACTCACAAACGTCCTCCAATTAGAATTACTCCAAAATTCGTCCATTTGATCATGTTTTGCTCTAGAGGAAGTTGAAAGTCCGATATTGAAAATACAATTCAAAGTATCAAAATTCTTTCAAAATATTAACCAAAATATACTAAGAATAGGGTAAAATATATAACATAAAATCTACTCATCACATAACAACTCCCCCATCGCATTTCTTCTATAACTTGGAATCAAAGCTTGAAGCAAGAAGGATTGTATGAGAAATCAATCAGAACCCAGTAACAATTTCATAGATTTCGAACCCAAAACAACAAAATCAATGAGAACCCAGTAATAATTTCACGATTTACAAAACAAAATCGAAGAAATAGATTGTCAGATTTGGAATTTACCAAATAGGAGCAAGACGAGGACAAGCAGGAGTAGGACGAGCGAGGAGGACGACCGAGAATGATGAATGAGCAACGCTTTTGAAGACTGGCTTAGCAATGCTGTGATAATTGGGGTTCCTCGCTAAAACCTCTTAGCGAAGAGGTTAGTCGGAGTGAGTACCGGCTAATCCCATTAAATTTTATCCTTATGTCTAACAAACACTATACAACACTAATAAGTATTGGTTTGGTCTTATATATATATATATATATATATATATATATATATAAATGGATATAAAAAAATGTTGAGCTCAAAAAGGTGTTTGGTAAACACTTAAAAACAACTTATTTTCACAATTTTGGGTGAACAAAGCTGAAAACATGAAACAACAAAAATGAGCTTATTCTCACAGCACAGCGAAGCAGTTTTTTTTTCAAAGTACAACAATACCAAACCAGCACTAAGTAGTCCAATCAGTCCAATAAAATTTAGTGAGCTCAAACAAACACACCCTATGGTGTTAAAGTCATGCAACTAAACAGTGCAATTTTTTTTTTTAACAAACGATATTATCTACGCTAGTGGGGAGAGGATAGGCTTAATCTCATAATAGACTAGCAATAATATAGTTCAAATTTACCTTTAGCAAGAATCGAATTTAAAACATTTTACTTACAAGTGAAGATGAAGATCACTAGATCGTAATTTTAGCTAAAGATAAAGCTTTTTTGGTCCCTCAGAAACAAATAAAAATAAATAAATAGAAAATATAAATAAATAAATAAAAGGAAAAATCAAGTGAGAGAATAAGACTGGCTTTAATTACCACCATTTGGGTTGTGGGAGGTGGCAGTATTGTGTTCATCCAAATATGGCCTCCCAAGAAACCACTGCCAAACTCTAAAAAGCAACAAAAGAACTCTGAACTCAAGCGGTGGCCATGGCTTCTGTGGCAAATTCTCCCTTCTACATTCTCAAACCTCCAAACCACACTCACTACAAACTCAGCAGTGGAATCACAACCACCCTCTGGTCATTCTCTTGTAGCAATGCACAATTTCTCGCTCTGCAGACCTCAAAGCACAAGTCTTCAACCATCACATGCTTTGCAACTGATAAGCAAACTTCTTCTACTGAAATCAGGTCTTCCCTTTTCCAGTATTTTGAGAATGATTGTTTTGCATGATTGGTTTAAGAAAAGTCTGCACATATAGAATCGGTTTCAAACTTTCTATTTAAAAATAAAATTAGAAATACTAAACAGGAAATAAACCGTATAGATAACAAGGTTTAGTGTCCCGTTATTATTTATTTAGTATCCTCTCAATTCTATTTTCGATTAAGTTTATAACCGGTATTATATGCGCATATTTTGGGGAACTATGGTGGAAGCTTAAATTGTCCAATAAAACTTTACTATTCTATGCACTTCAATTTAGAACCAGTTCCATTCACAGTACAAATAGATGGATAATTGATAAATTCTATCTATTTGTACTGCGAATGGATCTGGTTCTAAATTGAAGTGCATTGAGCAGTAATGGGGTTCTTTCAAATTTCCAAACATCTTTGCTGACTTGGGTTCTTTGCATTCCAATGCCTTGTGCTATATCAGCTTCTGTTTTACACATTAGGCTTCCTTGTAATCATAGGTTTGTTTGTTCCTCAGCTCCACAGCCAGGATTAGGAGTGAAGTTCTCACTCCCTTTCGCTCCGTTCGAATGTTTTTCTACCTTGCTTTCATTGCAAGTGGTGGTTTAGGAGGATTAATAGCAACCACACAGTTAATTGCAGCACTAACAAATCCATCAAGAGCACTCGACGCCCCCGAAATTGCAAAGGGTCTTGGCATAGACCTTGGAGCAGTGTCTCTCTTTGCATTCTTGTATTTGAGGGAGAACAAGGCCAAGAATGCACAGATTGCTAGGCTCTCTCGAGAGGAAAATCTTTCAAATCTCAAGCTTCGTGTTTCTGAAAAGAAGGTCATTCCTGTTAGCTCTTTGAGAGGGATTGCTCGGCTTGTAATATGCGCTGGCCCTGCATCGTTCATCACAGAATCGTTCAATCGAAGTGAGCCTTTCACTGAAGGGCTTGTGGAAAGAGGAGTGCTTGTTGTGCCCTTGGCTACGGATGGAAACGTGCCTAGTTTTGAGTTTGAAGAAAGTGAAGAGGCTAAGGATATTACTACGAAGAGGAAGAGACTCTGGCAGCTAACTCCAATTTATGTTACTGAATGGACCAAGTAAGTAAACCTTTTGCAAAACAAAATGATTTAATCATTTCAAGTTCTTATTCCCTCTTCAGACACGCTCATTTTTTCGTTGGAAATTGCAGCTGGTTGGACGAACAAAAGAAGCTGGCCGGTGTCACCTCTGACTATCCCGTGTAAGCATTTCTTCCATGATTGCTTCTGTCTTTAATTCCACTAGGCAAATTGCCTTATGCCTAATCTATTATATTACGACAGTTTGCCTAGTGGAATTAATATAAGATCACTTCGTCAGTAATTCTACATCATTTTCTTTGTTTGCAGATATATATCTCTTCGCCTGGATGGTCGTGTTCGTGGCAGTGGCGTTGGTTACCCACCTTGGAATGCTTTCGTTGCACAGTTACCACCTGTAAAGGGAATGTGGTCTGGTCTTCTCGACGGGTTTGATGGAAGAGTTTAAGAAAATATTTTTTGTTTGTATAGATTAAATTCTAGTTGGATTACTTGAAAAGCTATGAGATAAGTTAGTTTCTAGTCATTCATTACTTGTCATGACTCTGCAATTTGTTGAGAATATTGTGATTTTATGTGCATTTAAAGGCATGCATATCAACATTTCGGGTATCTGCTAACTCTCTTGTATTATTGGGTGCTTAACCACATGGATTTTCGTTTCGACCAAACACGTAAAACATACTTTCTCTGGTGCCAACAAGGGTTTGCAGATTCTGAGACGTAAAGTACTTAAACACTTATGCATGAGTAAACAGGTCCTGCCTGTGCCTATTGGGAACTGGAAATCATCTTTGGAACTGCTTTCGACTTCTACCTGGATAATGGAAAAGGGAAGTTACTTCCGCACAACCTTTTCTCTCTTTACACACCCCTATTTACTTATGGTCTTTGGATTGAATAACTGAAGGAGAATCGACAGAAAAAAACTAAACACTGCATAAGATTAAAAGAGGTTTCTAATGATTTACCGCGGAAACATACCAATATGATACACCGCTTCCCTCTCTATCATAAGATAAAGATACACTGACAAAGAGACAAGCAGTGTACGGCTCCGGTGTATGAAACCAGTATAGGATAATTTACAGCGTATAGATGCATGAAACGGGCATATGAATCCGGTGTATAAATACGGTATATATTATGAATTTATATCGATCTATTCGTATTTTGAGCAAGCAGTGATAGAAAATAACTAAGAAAAGGTGGAAGAAGAAATTTAGAGTATGATACACAAATAAAGGGCACCAACAAGTAAGGAACAAACTGAGAGAAGGACAATTTAATTAAGATTACAATTTACAGTGCCACTACAAACTCATTTAACTTCTTCAATCTCGTCCAATGCATAGTTATTCGTGGACACATTGGCATAGTTAACTTTGTTGAATCGGACCACGACAGGGTAACGGGTATTCGGATCCTGCAAAATAGATATCCACATTTAAGTACTCCATTTTCTTTTTCAAGTTCATTTTTATTGAGAGAGAGAGAGAGAGCTGTCAGACCTGATCCACAGCCACAACAGATCCAATGCCTTTGAACCAGTAGGATTCCCTCCTAAGAATCTTCACCTGTGAAAGAAAGTATAGAGTTATGATTCAAAAAGAAAAAAAAACACTATGGAGCCAAGTGAAATAGTCAAACTGATCAACGTTTCAATATTCATCCTCAATTCAATTCTTCTCGTTCTAATGCCAGATTAGTAAATGAGCCAATTTCTTGTATATTCAATTGGTCGTGTATTAAAACCAAACACAAAACCATTTGTTGAAAAATTCATACTCAAGAACATATAGTAAGGTCTCTTGTGGCTCGACCTGGGTTGGACTATTTCTATCTAATTAGACTAACGAACACTTGGGACCTCTTACTCACTATGGACTAACTGAGCTCTTTACAAGTTTTTAGCGATATATTTTGTGTAATGTAATATTGGAGGAGTGACAATTTAAACAAAGGATTTCAAGTGCGAGGATAACACCTTTAATGATTTAAGCTACAAGCCTTTCAAATTCACAATTAGTGTTGTTTAAATCCCTACTTTTTTTCTAGGTTATTTGGTTTTGATTTTTCTATTCAGCAATTCTACAAACCAATTGACAATTTACTCACAACAATACTTGAAAAAGAACACTAATTTATTTCTATTATTTTTTCACATGAACTAACCTTAGTGCCTCTCTTGGGTCCAATTGGTGGTGGCTTAGGCTTAGGGGTAGCTGCCCCCTCTGGTGCAGTCGTGGTGGCGCCCGGCGGCGTAGCGGCTTCTTCAGCTGCCCTGATCACAAACCTGGCATTGCTTCTTGTGTTGGTGTTGGGTTTTGAAGAGAAAAACAGCATGCTACTCCGGCTGGAAGCTGAGCCTGCGTTGGTGGTTGCAACATTTGGTGCTACCACAAAGCCTGAGGCAGCTGATGCCATGCCACAGCCAGCCATGTGTGAGATTTCTGTGCTGCTGTTGGTCACTCTAGCTCTCTGTGTGCTAGCTTGTGCTGAGATTGTGGCAGAAGTTAATGGATATAAAATTAAGACCAGAGGCTTTGAATGAACTGGGTTTGTGTTGCTACTGAGGACGACAGAATTATCTGATCCTGGCAACGCGAGATAATTCGTTGCCTCCACTAGGGTGATGACACGTGTGCACCATATCCTTTTTGTTTGGATAATATGTGATTACATGTCATATTTGATTATGGACTTGCTGAGTGGACAAACCAATATCTTTCTTTTTCTTCCCGTGAAATTCTTCTAAATAATAATGAAATTGAATTTCAGAAAAAAAAAATCTAAAAAATAATTCATTAACTGAAAAATCTGCTTTATTCATGTAAATGTTCCAAACTGTTGTAGTTTTACCAAAACATGATTAAAAAACCAATGCTACTTTGGAAGAAAAAAAAATATTTTTACGTAATTGTCCGTAGCATATAAATATTATCATGTACAAGATGAAATTAACAATAAAACTAAAATTTATCAATAAACTTACACCCAATAATCAAACTTTTAACATTAAGCAATCTAAGATTGTGATTCGGGTTTAATGAACATTATGAGAAGATCGACAATGAAAAGATTGACCGAGCATTTTCTAATTTTGATATACAGGACTCACAATAAGAAAAGTTTGAGTGAGCACTTTTCTAGTTTTTCTAAAAAAAAAATATTTTTTATTAAATAACGATGATAGATTAATTAAATATTAATGATAGTTTTAATCAAATATCTACTCGACAAAATCCCTAAAAGGGAACATTTCTGCAATTTAAATTTACATTTTTTTTTTAACAATAAATTTTGTTAAATTAAGAATTAGACGAATACAAAATTTATTTGAAAGATATTCATTAGTCTACTCTTCCAATGGCCCAACCATATAGGTCTGGCCCGTTAACACAGCATTTTATACATCGCCAATATTAAGTCAGTGTAACGGCAGCTTCTCCGGAAAATCTAATTTTGGCTCGCTCTGCTTTTCTCTCTCTCGTCTCCACCCCTCACAGATAACACGCAGCTCCCTCTCTATCTCTCTCTTAAGAACCAGCTAAATCCCAGATAAGATTCTTCCTCGTCATCTTTCTTACGTTACTGTCTCGTTCATCCTCTCCAAAAAATGGCGCCACGTGTTTGCCAACCGAGCTCTCTCCTCTTCTCGCCTCGCTTACCATGCTTGCCACCTTGTTCGTATCGAACCCAAAAGGATATAACGCCCCTCTTTTTGTTGTTGTCAAGCTGCACAGAGTGTGCAGTTTGTTGGGTTGGTCTTATCCTGAGCAATGGCACCACCGAGGACTAAGTATGCGATTCCTGAGGGCTGGGTGATGCAGAAGAAGGTTGAGGGTGATGGGACTGAGGTCGAGGTACTCCAAATTCTATACCCTTTTCACCATCTTTGTAAATTTTGAAGATTTGGGTTCCAATTTTATTGTGTTTTTATGGTTATTATCTTTTTAATTTTTAGTGATGTTACTGTGAATTTCTTTATGTTGATTGAGTAATGCATGGAAAAAAGACTTTGAACCGCTGTTTTGATAATTCGAGCTGCAGATCTGAAGCTTTCATTGTTCTTTCTTAGAAAAAGGTTTTCCAGTGTTGTTAAATCGTTTAATTGACTTAGATGATAGTATTTTCAGTGTTTATGATCAACTTAGAATACAAATTTTTTATTATTTGGGCAGCATGGAATTGTTTTGATCTTTATTTCGATAAAGCGTAAGTACCACGCTTTGTTCAGGAAACTTCTCAGTGTAGAAAGTTTGATACCATAAAGCATGATCATCTCCTTACCCATTGATACGGATTAGGTTATATAAGTTGGAGAATCTTGAGATTGAGTTGCTCATTATTATAGTGTTCATAAGTTAGAACTAGTGGACTTGCACAGATACTTGTGATCTATGAGATATGTGGTCGGATACTAGATCTTCTGGGATCGGTTAATGTTGAAAACATATTTGACAGTACGTGATACAAGTTCGCTGAACATCCTGCTCAGCTTCCTCGTGACCTGTTTTTGATGAATCTAAGTAAAATTGTTTTCGAGTAGCTTCAAGTGTTGAATTGCATGCAGCTATTATATTTAGTACTATGTGGTACATGATCGCTGAACATTTAGTTCAGTTTTGTCATACCGCATTTAAGATGAATCTAAAGAATGTCTTTTTCCGTAGATGAAATCTAAGGAATGTCCTTTTCCATAGACGAATCTAAGGAATTTTGTAACGCATTTAAGATGAATCTAAGGAATGCCTTTTTCCGTAGATGAAATCTAAGGAATGTCCTTTTCCATAGATGAATCTAAGGAATTTTGTAACGCATTTAAGATGATTCTAAGGAATGTCGTAAACCTGTGCATGATTTTTGACCATTCAGTTCAGTTTTTTCATAAGTTTTTTAAGATAATGTAAGGAATATCGTTTACCAAATAGTTGCACATGTTGAATACTTTTACCGTCAAATTTGAGGAGCTTAATTAATATTGGATGCGTGTTGCCAATAAGCGACACAATATTTTCGGCGATTTTGGAAAATAGCTCATTACAAACAGAAACTTGTTGTTCCCTAACTGTTTTAATGTGTAAATAGGTTTGTAATTTTACCAATTGTGTACACTTAATAATCCCTGTTTGTAGGTTTAACATTACCTTTTCTTATTCATGAACTGTTCCAGATTGAGGAAAATCCTAGACTTGTCATTGATGTACCATAGTTCTGAGCCTATCTCAATTATTTGTAGCTGTCATTTGTCTACCATATTTCTGCACCGGTCTTTTTTTTAATGAAATTTCATTAAAAAGCCTTAATAAACCCTAATGGAAAATTTGATTTAATTACATAAAAGACTTGATCTGCTAGAAGAGAAACAAAATAACATCTAAAACCCTAACAAATGAAGCACTTCAAATATACTTTTCTGAAACTTATGTAATATTTTTTAAGCTGTGAACAAAACTGCTAGCAGGGCAGGTATATGATACTCTACTTCCCCTTTTTACAAAATCTTGAGCCTTAAATATTAAATGATCAACTTCCCTGAAATTTGCTTCAACTCTTTCTTCTTTCCCTGTTTTTTATCTGAATATTTGGATCTCTTGTAACCATGTTTATTAGATCGTTTGGCTTTTAGCATGCTCAAAGACACCCATGCTACTATGAATATAGTACTAACTGTGAAAGAATTAAATTAAGTAATGCTAGCAAGTCTCAACAATAAATTAAGAAAAACTAGTTGAAACATGAACAAATTTAGGACTGATACTTTTCGATTTATGGCTGGCTCTTGTAGTGCTTCGTCTGTATTGCAACAGGACAAGAATTTTGTACCTATAATGGGATGATGCGGTATGTGCACTATGCTATAGCTAGAGAAGCTTCCATCTACTCGCCGGTGAGTTTGAGCTACTTAATTTAGTTTTAGTTTTTATTTTTCTATCAACTATCGTGCATATATCTAGCTGAACTGTGGGTTTCAATGCCTGGAATCCTATTCTTTTTTCTTACTTGTAATTACATGTATTTATCCATCATGTTCTTGTGCAGGATTTCAGTCCACCGAAGAAAGTAGCGAGCTCTAAGCGGGGAAGCAATGCACCGAAGAAAGTAGGGAGCTCTAAGCGGGGAAGCAATTCACCGAAGAAAGTAGCGAGCTCTAAGCAGGGAAGCAATGTACCGAAGGAAGTAGGGAGCTCTAAGCGGGGAAGGAATGCATTGAAGGAAGTAGGGAGCTCTAAGCAGGGAAGCAATCCGAGCTCAAATTTGAAAACAAATTTGAAAATAGATCACAAGCTCTCTCTTAAAAAGAAGAAGCCAGTTATTTCAAAACCCGCTAATTTGTTTCTCTCCCCTCTCTCGTCTCTGGTCTACCCCCTAACCAGTGGGGATTGTTTGTAATTTTACATTATTAGTAAGTGACTACCAATTGCGTTTGTTCTGGAATATTTTAGGAAAAACCCAAACGTCCTTTGACTATCTCCTTATATATTAAAACTACCATGGTGAGATTATAAGGTCAATTAATAGGTTATCATTTTTCATTTTGTTTCATGCCTATTTTACTCTCAACAGTTTTTTTTTTTATTTTTTTGGGTCAACCATCATTTTTTCTAATTTAATGTTATTTATGTAAAAATTTGATTTTTAACTTAAAAATTATTATATTTGAGTCGTATATATTGGTAATGTGGATGAGTTGATACCGAATGTGTAGATAATGTGGATGAGTTTGATATCGAATATGTAGGTAATGTGAATAGGTTTGATACCGAATGTGTAGTTGTTGTGGTTGGGTTTGATACTGAATGTGGAAGAAGATTCTTTGCACAACCACCTCCGAGCCAAGCCTCCAGCAACCATCGGAGATGAACGACAAACTGAAGAAACAAGGGCACTATGGATTCGATATTAGCTAGATGAACGACAAACTGAAGAAACAAGGGCATAGATTCGGTATGAATTAGCTAATGGTGACTATAAACTTGTGGAAGTTGTGGAGTTTAGCATGGATCAATGGTCATCCACTAGATCTGTTTGTGGAAATTGTGTATAGGAGAACAGTGTTGTTGCTAGTTATGAAGTGAACGTTTATAGCCTAAAATCCAAGACGTGGAAAGGATCCAAAGCATGCCTCCTTGCGATGGCTTTCGACTTCCTCCATTTCAATCAGTTGCCGTGTGTTTGAACAGTGCCATAAGTTAGAAGATGGATTGTCATTTCTATGACGATCGTCCAGGAATGATTCTAACTCTTGATCTTGCAAGTGAGAAATATCGCGAGTTTCCCATCCCAGTTCATGGGGACCAGGATGAGATTTCTTTGTGTTTGCTGGGAAGCTATCTATATATTTGTCATCACAATTTCGAGGTTGCAGGCTTTCAAATTGATGTTTGGATTATGAAGAAATATGGAGTCACGGGATCTTGGCGGACCCCTCTTTGTTCTGTCAAGAAATCTGGTGTGCCTTACATGAACTTTGACGCCCACATCAAACCTTTGGTATTTTCAAAGAACGGTCACACGGTACTATTTGAGATAGACTGCGAGCAGCCTTTTTGGTTTGATTTAGAGAAAAAGAGTGTGAAACAAGTTGAATTTTGTCGTAAGCCTGATGAGTTTGAAGTAATTGTTTGTGAAGGTGGGGGGGCTCGGGGAGCCTTTGTGCTCTTCTCGATGGTGATCCTGTAAATGTTGAAGGAGGCTGCAACACGTGTGTTGGGGGCTCGATGGTGATCCTTGCTGTCTATGAATCATCAGTCAGTATACACATGCAGTGGCCTTGCTGTCCACTATGCATAATCATTACATCCTTAACGTGGGAACCATATTCCAATCTGTAAAGCACAGTGCACTGCATGTGGAGCATCAAATCATGGAGTGGATGAAACGGCAGATTGACTTGGGTTAACACCAACAACTACAGTAACTGATTTCCACGATAGATGGAAATCAGATGAAATCTGTGTATATATATAATCCAATTCCCTACTTGTGAAGTATCGTTCTGAGATTAAGGGTTCTATCACCTTTGGAACATAAGGTCTTAAACAAGTAGAAGAATTCTTATGTATTACCAGTAAACACAGCCTGCACCAGGTTTTTCAGATGGTGTTGCTGCTGTCTTTGTTGCTGGGCAGATGGGTTCTCAGGTATGGTCAATTTTTTTTTTTTTTTTTATGCCAACTCTTGTAATGTTATATGTAAATTGTTGTTTGTGATCCTTGTTGAAGACTAACCATGTATAGTTCCTACATTTGGTATCAGAGCCTGTGGTTAGTCTACTTGGATTCAAACTTAATTATCTTAACATTTATACCTATATCATTAACTGGGAATATTTGCTGTACGGGGAAGAAAATTGCCTCAACCTAGCCCCTAATGTTAGCATCGGTGATTGTTGCCTTGATTCATGACAACATCTAATTCCCTACATCGAGGCTACCTTGGTTAATGATGGTTTCATTTATTATTTTGAGGCATTTATTTATGACTATTTTGATTTCTTGGTTCATGGTTGCCTCGATATATTGTTGCCTAATTCCTAATTACAAGTTCCTGTAATGTTTCTTGATTGTTTATATATGCAAGTACAAGTAAAAAGATGATTAGGTCACCAAACTTGTGAAACCCAATCTCTGCTTAGAGAACCTGCATGTGGCGTTCATCTTGGTTGAAAAGACACAGAATTAGGCAAATTCTACAAAGAAGGGAAATTTTGAGTGGTTTGTTTTTGTGCAATGTTGGATGCTTGTAAATTTTTCTCTTCATAAGCATGAGTATTTTTATTTATTTCAATTTTCTTCCTTGATCTCCTTGGGTGCATGCAAGTAAAGTTGAAACTAAACTATTTTCATGCACTGATTGATGGTGTGTAAATGAACATTGCGAGAATGTATCTTGGTAAAATTATACTGCAGTGTGTGTGCTATCTGCTGCTGTGATTCTTCTGGTAAAGTTTCCTCGTTAAACAACAGATTGAGTGCCTGCTCTGGGACGTGACTAATCAAATGATGTTTTTCATTAGTTTATTAGTATGATTATATCCCATTTATTTAAAATTGGAAGATGAAGTGGCTTTATGATCTGCATATGCAGCGTGTTTGGCTGCACTGAGAATACATTTTTCATCTATTTCTGTTGTGATCAATATAATGATCCGTATATTGTTGGAACTATATCACTTTGAGTTTTATCCTTTTTTTTTTTGCTACTATACTAACAGTTTGGTTTGCAGTAAAGAACAATTACGAAAATTGTTCGATTGCAGTAAAGGAAGAATGGTTGTGGTTTAAAACCCAAGAAATGTTCACATTCTTTTCCAAAGAATGGGATGTATAAATTGTTGGTGGTTTTAATCAGTGTATGGCATCATGTAGATCAGGCCATATTCTTGTCCAAAGACTTGTAATATTGCATGATAAGATCCTTGAATGATGGCTATACAATGAAGGTCAATGTCAGTTTATATCTCTTGCCCAAAGGTGTGATATAAACAAGCATTTAACAATCACTAATGATTGTTTCAAGTTTTCCATGTCTTCTTAAGATAGTCCTTACAGTTTTCCAGATGATTTCAACTGGTGTATCAGGATAGATTTAAGGACTGGGAATCTTCACGTTTTGAGATTGTGCCGCTGCTGTGTTATGCGGGCAGAAGCAGATGCTGAGGTATCACTCTAATGTTTTCATTCTTTCCCATGTGTGCTGTCAGAAGCATTCCCATGTTGTTACTGTTAAAGTATAACCTTCAGACTTCTTTCCCATGTGTGTTACACAAGTCTTTCCCATGCGTGCTGTCAGAAGACAGCAGATGGTGCTGCCATATACTTGATATAATTGCATGAAAAGATCTTGTAATGGTGGGTGTACAATAAAGAATGAATGGTTGCTTATAGTTTTAACTAAAGGTATGTTATAAGCATGCATTTCAACGATTTTTCCATGTCTTCTACCTCGGCTATGAACCTGTGCTATTTGTTTATTGTGATAAGAAATCCTAATGCTTTATGCATGTATAAAATTCGTATGATGATTGCTACAGTTTTTCTATAGCATGATTAATTGTTCTAATGCCATATGCTGCTGCCAAAGTTTTATTCACAGCAGGAAAAGGAATATATGGTTTGGAGATTAAAACACTGTAAGCTGCGCTTTTATCATTCTAGAATTGGTAGTCATGGTTGTTTCAGATTCACAAACGATGATCGATATCTGATTGAAATCTGGTATATGATTGAAATCAGTTTTTTGATATCTAAATATGTATTGGCAATAGGCATTGGTGTAGATTGTAGCTTAGTAAATTTATGTTGAACTTGAATATGGCTGGTAGGTTGCAAGGTTCCTGATACATGTGAAAATAATCTATAATTATAACTTACTTGTGTAGTAAATTGGTTTTTCATTTGACGTTTGGATGATTTCTACAATCAAATTGAAATGCTAAAGTTTTATGCAGGTTTTCAACACTAATAATCTCTATACTTGAACAAATGTTTGAATAAATCTTCACCAAAGTGGGAATTATTAGGAAATTTTGTTCAAGGGATTATTAATTGAATTTTGTGAGTGACAATTCATTGCATAAGACCAATCTTTCAAAAGAAAGAAATAGTGAATGGCTTGAACTGTGATGTAGTGTGTAGTATTTTATAAAAGTTTAAAGTCAACTTTGATCCCTTGTCCAAAGACATGATTTGAGTTGTAACTTGAAATTTTTGTGAAATAGCTCTGCAAATAAGGATGCATGATTAAGATTGCATAACTGATATTTTATGTCTCTTGCCCAAAGGTGTTACATAAAATTGCATGTCATGGTTACTCACTCAATGACTAGTTTATCTGCATAAGGCAGAATTGAGGCTCAGTTGGAAGCATTAGGCAAACTCATTGGAGTTTGATAAAGGATCGAATATGATTGTATCATATTTGATGTTGTTTCATGTATATATGCAATGTTTGAAATGATGAATTACTAATCAAACCGAGGTTTAATGAGCTGGTTATTGTAAAAGGCTTATCATTGGAGCCAAACAATGGCTTGACAATGATGTTTGGTTTGATCAGTGGGAGTGTAAATAATAGACATGTTAAATATGTTTGTTTGCTCTGTTAATATCATGCATGAGTAGTTTTGGGGGATGTGATTTCAGAGTGTTAGTACAAATTATGAAGTACTAATTTTCTGGGGTTCAACTTTTGAAGCTATTCATGGCAGATGTGAGTTGTTGTATGGTTGACATGACTTGAGTGATCACAAAGGGATTGGCTTAATACGTTGGACAAGGAACATGATAAGTGGAAGTTCAAAAGTGGGAGAATGTTAGGTTTTGAACTTACACATATCATGATAAGGATACCTAAACGTGGGTTCAAACCAATTAGGAGTTATACCATGTTAGGTTTTGAACTTACACATATCATGATAAGGATACCTAAACGTGGGTTCAAACCAATTAGGAGTCATGGCCATGTCAATAACTGATCTCCTAGAATTAAGGGAAAGGGAGACAGGTTGAATAAGTCTCAATGTCCGAGGAATGAAATTGAGAGACAAAGCATGGTCAATAAGCCTTATGCGTCTCTAGTAGGTAGCTTGATGTATGCACAGGTCTGCACTAGAATACTCCTACTGCCAATGGCTTAGTCAAAGGGCAAAAAAAACATTACTTGAGCTTGTTTCACTACTTACACGACAGAAAAGGAAAAGGGCAAAAAAAATTATTTGCTTAAAAGGAAAAAATTAATTTTTGAAAAATAAAATATGAAAAGCACTATCACGTGCCGATTTGGCGCCTAAATGCT